ACATTTTTTAAGTTTATATGAGTTTGATAATTTTTACATACCAAAAACTACGAGCTGAAAAAGACGAAAAATTTTCTTCTCACTTTGTGGATTTGTAACGTGTCCAAAACGAGAAAATTGAGAAAATTTTCGATTACCTATCGTGAAAGCTTGATACTTTCCCTTCAAAATCGGTTTTTTTAAATATTCCTACGACTTTTGATTACTGAGTTATCGCGGATTAAATAAAAGAATTATTTTGACTTTAATTGCTCATAACTCCATTAAAAATTGTCGTATCGTATAATTTAAAAAAGAAATTTTTAAAGCTGAAACTTTACTCTATCAAGATATATTTATATTGTTGGTAAGAAAGTAATTGCGGTTTTTACTGATAGATGTCTTTTAAAAAAACGCGATGACTTTTTACTTAACCTAATATATATATATATATACACACACACACATGTATGTATACACACACATGTATGTATACACACACATACAGAGTATTTCAAATGTAATATCTCGGATATGAATGAAGGGGAAAATGTTTTAAAACTGGCCTATATTACTCTCTCTCATATGCATATAGTGCGCACACTAATTATTCAATTGCCATAAGCATATCAGGTATGTGATTATAAAAAAATAATAGTTTGAGATATTTAATATTTCCCCTCAATTTTGTGCTAATTTAATGTATAAATTACTTCATAAATTATTGATTTTTTTAAATTTACCTTAATTCTTTTATATTCGGAATAATTAGGGAAACTATATTATGTAAAAAAATCATGCAATTTCATCTTTCAAAAATGGCGGTAACCTTCATATGATCTTGAGAATTTTATTTGAAAATTAAATTTTACCAATATTTGCATCCCTTTAAATCGTACAACTTTCATTTGAATTTTTCCGATCGTTCATATTTTCCGAAATATTCAACCTTGAGTTTCTCTGTATATGCATGTATAAGTAACACACACACACACACGATTTTTTTTTAAAGAGAAAGTTATTACATAATAATATGAGATATAACAGGTCCAATGTAATTTATTTACATAATTATTTGGCCTGGAGAATTTCTACGACTTTTAGATTTTTCGATGTAGCAGTTTTTGAGTGATACTTATTAAACGATTTATTCAATCTTTTGCTATATACATTGTTTGTACATACATTGTTTGACTTGAAATATTTCTAAATGAGAGATTATAAAGATTGTTGGTCACGCGTAGCATGATAAGCGTCTCTCTCTTTATCGGGGAATTTGGTCGGTAAATTCGGACTGTGTAAGTGACATTTTGCAGGGTACATGATACCTGCGACGTTTACTTCATAATCGCCTGATAATATGTACTCGTTTGTCACTTCTTGCGGTTGATCCTTCGAATCAAAATTTTGCACAAATCCAAGACATACCTGTGAACGTGAGTCAACAAGTTATTTCGAAGAGAAAAAAATATTGTTGACTACGTAAAAAGAAGGATGTTTAAGTTAGGGCTCTTTCTCGGCCAAAATGAAAAATTCCGAGATGTACAAATTATATGTCATTAAAGGGCTAAAGGAGGTTGTAACAGCATTAATATTTACGCTTTAAACAAACTGTACATGTGAAAGTTGTGTTCATCACATTCTGTTTTTATTGAGCAACATATTTTTATTGATTATTTATTTTATTTGATATTAGTTTTATTTTTTAAAATAATAATCTAATTTTTTTAAGGTAAATATTTTAAGTACTAAAAATGACTTATGTAAAGTTTCATTTTCATTGAGATTCAGCAATTAGTTTAGAACAAATAAAGATTTTGTTTATTTACTGAACAATTATATACATCTCAATGTAACTTTACATAAATATTTTTGAATTCATAAAGTACTTATATAAAAAAATTAAGATTTTTATCATTATTTTGTAATACATTTTCATATATTTCTATTAGAGTACAAATTTACCAAATATTACTTTTTATTGAAATAACTTTTGATCCAGATGCTCAACTGTCTCTAATTTTTTCTATTACTTTTAAGTGTAATTTAAAATAATCTGTAATTTTTTCAAGTAATTCTTAACATATTACATTTGCCTTACAATCTCTTTAAATAAAATAGAGTGACATATCGATTATCTTAGGGAAACATCGAGAACGTAGCAGAAATTGTATTATCAAAAAGACAATAAAATTAAAAATTGTTAAACAAAATAGCAAAATATTCCGCTAATTAAGGAACAAAAACCATATTATTATTTAAACACGATAATTTGGCAAGCGTTTGTTATTCAAAATCAGAATTCGAAACTAAACGATTATTTTGTATCGGACTTTTTGTCGATCGTCAATTGCTTGAAAATTCTCTAAATTATACGTGTTTAAGCAACAAAAACATTTATTGCTTAATTTTCGGGATATTTTGATGTTTTAGTTAACAATTTTTTATTAATAAATGTGATAACATAAGTTTTATTGACTTTTTATCACGATTTCTCTCGTATTCTCGATGTTTCCCCAAGATAAGCCATACATCACTCGATTCTGCAACTCCTTTAATATGATACATAATTTATACATCTCAGTACTTTTTCATGTTGGCCAAAAAACAGCTCTAATTTAATAATATCCTCTTTTCTTTTTTCCTAAGAGAAAAACTATGTCACCTGTTTTTTGAATGTAAAACCGTATCCTGTGGTAGTTGTCATTCCGCAATATTTTCCATTTCGATAAATAGGCTCACCACCCCAGCACCAGGTATCAAATTCGAGGTCATGATCGTTTAACAGTAATTGTACGTACTTGCGTTGGACTCCTTGCTCACGCTGTTTCAAAAGAGCATCTCTGCCTATAAAATTAATTTCCTTCTGCGAAATGAAAGTTTATCTCATAAATTCATATATAACAATATTGTTAAAATGTTAATCCAATGTATAATATTTACATCGAATTTTACTCTCCACGATCTTCCGCATTCTAGAGGAGTAGTGAAGGTATCCAGATCTTGTCCCCAAAATGCGTAAAACTTTTCAACGCGTAACGCTCTTGTCGCATAATAACCAGCATGTTTCATCCCATATTTTGCTCCGGCCTCTATCAGTCTTGTATAGACGTGCAGTGCAAACTGAAATTATTAAATTAAGTCTCAGACTTGGAGTGAGAGGGGGGGAGGGAGGGGGGGAGAGCAAAGATGATATAATTACTCGATTGTTTGGGATTTTTACCTCGTTTGGTATATACAGCACATAACCAAGTTCTCCGGTGTGTGTTAAATTCATTGTACGAATGCCATTGGCAAGTCCAACGTCTAATTCCTGATGAAAGGATAGAAATGGGTAATATAATAAATTAAATTTTTTAACTCAATTATATTACCTTGAATGTGAAAAATGGAAAATTCTTTGGATTTAAATCTATGTCTGTTAATTCAGTTAACAATTTTCTGGTGGCCGGTCCCATTATACAAATTGCAGTGTATGCTGATGTGACATCGGACACGGCGACAGAACCATCTACCGGCAGATGACGATGAATCCAATTCTTGCAACGGGTTTGTTGAATGGTTGGTGCAATCATCATATAACTAACGAAAATGTTTTCAAATGTATTCATACATGTCTCTTCTTTATACACAAAGTAATCCGCGTTATTGATGACACAAAAAATAC